ATTCCCCTGGGCATGTTGTCCTGTTATGAATTTCTTCCTAACCACTCTCCTTACTCTCTTCTTCTAAGGCTGATTTCTTCATGTGATGGCAAGCAAGTTATTTTCCTGTTACTTAGCCATGTGTTTTTATTGCAAGCAAGGATTATTTCCACTCAACTCTTGTTAACCCTGCAAGCAAAGCCATAATGGGTAGGGTGATCCTAACTGGATAATCAGCAGAAAGTTTGCCAGACAATGGTTTCAATGGGAAGCTGTGTGGTTTTAGATGGTTAATTCTAGCAGTACCCCCAACACATACTCTGGTATTCGCAAGCCTTGGTTCTTGCCAACCTATGCTTAATACTTTCTGTGATAAGGTAAGTAGGGTGCAGAGAGTTCTGAAGTAGCAATTCTTCTTGTATTGCCTTACAACAGAGTGTTGGCTGGCACAAGGGACCATGATCACAAGTTCATAAGAGAGATATAGATAAATACGGTCCTTTAACTCATCCATCCAGAATATCCACTCTATCTTCTTATCATAGCAACAAACTGTTCCTTAAATGAGTCCAGCATCCTGGCCTCAAATCGTCTAGCTGATAACCTGTTCTAATTGTTAATTTATTTTGTGTAAAACAGGAAGCATCATAGCTAAACCAAATCCTCTCCTTATCGAATAGACAGACATCTTCACTGTTCCAACAACAGTTAATAGATAGCAATCAGGAACAGGAATCTTGGTTATATATTTCCTCTCTCCAGCTGAGAGGTTCTGAGGTTGATTGCAATCTCCTTACCCTTGCTCCCCTTGAGATCATCTAATTCAGTACAGACTGGGGATTAAATCTAGGACCTTTGTAATCTGAATACACTACGCACTGTGCAGTTCCATCAACCCTCACACTCATACATTTACACACATTTGTTCAGTCCAGAATTGCTAATATCTGCTGGAGATGTAAGACCCTTAGCAAGCACTCCCAATCAGGTACATCATAAAAGGAAGAACGTAAGAGTATAATAATAATAATCCTTGCATTTGATATAGCGCTTTTCACGTCGGGAGGATGTCCCAAAGCGCTTCACAGAATACACTGTAAAGTGAATTGACTGTATATTTGTGGGCGAACGCGGCAGCCAATTGCACACAGCAATGTCCCACAAACAGTCGTAGATTGAAAATGACCAATTTATTATTGTTTTTGGTTTTTGGAGGGATTATTATTAGGCTCTGTGTGGAGTAAGGAAACTTGCCCAAGGTTTCGCCCTGCCTGGAATTGAACTCAGGTCTCTCGCTCGCAAAGCGACTGCTCTAACCACTGAGCTACAGGACTCCACATAAAGTTCCTCTGAACTTTTCCAATTCGCCCATAAGACATCTATATCGAACACAGCCATATAGGATTGCACTGGAGCAGAAAAATAATGGGATCCATTTCCCATAGGAACTTTTTTTTAAAAATCCACTCTGATCTATCTTTCACACTCCTCAATCAAATTCTTCATCAATTAAGGAATCTATTTCCCTCTAGAATGTGTTGAATCTGTAGAATCTGTTTCTAATGTGTCCCTAGATAGTCTGTTCCATACACTCACCAATCATTGTGCCAAGTAATTACATCTAAACTGTTTCCTCATCTTCCTTCTTCTGCGCTTGAGTCTGGGTCTCCTTACTCTAGATTGTCTGATTTGTTAAACATATTATTAGGGTTTAGTTCATCTATATTCTTTTAAGATCCTGAATACTTCACTGAACCTTTTGATGCCTTGCTTCATAACTCAGATGTCTAATAATATAATCCTTGCATTTAATATAGCGCCTTATCATGTCACTGAGACATTTCATAACGCTTCACAGAATATATTGTAAAGTGGATTGACTATGCTTTTTGTGGGAGAAACACAGCAGCCAATTGCAATTATCAGTTTCGTCCATAAAATATAGTCAATTCCCTTTACATTAAATTCTGTGAAGTGCTTTGAGATGTCTCAATGACTTGACAGTGCCCTATTTCAAATGCAAAGATTATTATTATTATTTATTATAATTACTGGTGCCCTCAATTTTGTAATTAATGAAAAGGAAGCCGAGTGATTCTTTATAGAGGTTTGTTAATTGCAGAACTTACAGTCATCATCTCTATGCAGTTGCACATGATTAACAGAACCTGTAACTTGCAAATGGGTTGTTAATAAATTCCTCCTATTGAGGCCTGATATGCTTTCTGTAGGAAAAATTCTATTATAATTGGCTTCACTAAACAAATTTACAACAGCATAACAGTGAAATGGTGACATTAAAGACTTTTAAAATGTAGCTGACACAGCCCTGTGCCAATTTGTTTATTGTATGTAATTCATCACTCTTGCGCTGTATCCTTGTTACACCCTATATGACTGCTAAAGCCATGTTTTTTAAAATTCCCTTCATGGGTAAACATTTCATATTTTTCCAAATATTTTTTGGCAATTTGATGGCACCAGTTCACCATCCATGGATGCACACTCCACCTTGCTAAGCCAGTCCGGAATCTTGACATCTTGTTTGACCCTCAACTATCCTTTCTACCCCACATCCGTGCCATCACCTGCTCTGGCTTCCCCCACCTCCTCAACTTCGTCCAGCTCCGCCACTGTATCACACCACAGGCCACCGAAACCCTCATACACGTGTTCATAACATCCAGGCTTGACTATGCAAACTCCTCCTTCCATAGGCCTCAGATCATCCAGAACTCTGCAGCCCATATCCTCTCCGACACCAGTCTCCGGGACCCTATCACCCCCATCCTTGCCCGACTCCACTGGCTTCCCATCACACAGAGGATACAATTCAAGATCCTGGTCCTCACATTCAAAGCGCTCCATGGTCTTACTTCCCACTACCTCTGCGACCTAACCCCCTACCATCCTGCCCGCTCCCTCCGCTCAGCAGGTTCCAGTCTGCTTCACGTTCCCTGCCTCATCTGCCCCACAATTGGGCGGGCGGGCCTTCTGCCACTCTACCCTCTGGAACTCCATCCCGCAGGCCCTCCTTCTCACCCCCTTTCTTGCCTCCTTCAAGACCTATCTCAAGACCCTCCTCTTCGACTGTGCTTTCGATCACCCTGCTTCACCCCTTACCCCCCACCCTTCCCAATCCCGATTCCTAGCTCGTGTCCGAAACACTGACTATCCAGGGCCTTGGGATGTTCTCCTGATGTGAAAGGCACTATACAAATGATGTTGTTGTTTGCCAGAAATAGTGGTCTATGCCATATATTAATGTATTCTTCTCTGTATTAGTGTTTCTTTATCTAATTTATTTTGGTAATAAATCAATCAGTACCTGATTGAATCAAGTCCCCCTCAACATTTCAGCAACTAAACTAGATAGACTGTGTCTGATGAATTTGGCTTCCATTTGGATGAGGAAGGTCCCAGGTTTGATCCCTGAGGTCTGTGCCACATTAGCTGTTGTCAGCCTTGGTGGCAGTAGGGTGCTATAACTGGCCTCAGCATTTCCAGGGATAGGGAGAGGAACATCGGCCAGGGTTCTCTCTCCTGAGCGCTCTTCAGTGATCTTTGTTAGAAACCTGCTGACATTCACTGTCCACGCTCACATATGAAGAAAGTCCACTTGGACAAGGTATCAGAAGATGATCAGTGCCTATGGACAAAACCTCCAGGATGTGTCAGTGCCTGCAGGATAGGAGGGGAGAAAATTGAAGGTAGAGAAATAAAAAAAACTTGGTTTTAAATCTGCAAAACAACGGAAAGGATGGGTTTCAGTAGATAATGGCTTCCTAAACACTCACATCCCTAGCCTGACTGGTAACATCACTTGAATTGTAATAATAATGATATTCCTTGCATTTGACATAAGATAGAGAATCTTATCACATCAAAATCACAGCGTTTCCTGAAAAGTGTTCTGACTGTATTTGTAGGTGAATGTAGCAGCCAATTTACACATGGCCTTACTCCACAGATAGCCATGAATTGAATTACAAATTTTATCTGGGGGATTGTTGGTCAGGTCACAGGGAGAAATGTCTTTCCTTTTGAACAGTGCTATGGTATCTTCAACAACCACCTGATCAGGTAAATAGGACCTTGATTTAAATATTTTATCCAAAGGCTGGCATTTCTGACAATGCATAATTCCTACAGCACTGTATTGAGGTATCTGCATAAACTTTCATCTCAAAGTACTCATGTGGGGCTTGAACCCACATCCTTCTGATCCAAGCACAAGAGTGCTACCAACTGAGCCAGGATAATACCACTGTCTCTTTCCTGGAATGCTTCTGAGGCTGTTCTTCTTTAATTAAAATCATTCTGTTGAGTTTCACACTTTCCAAATTGGCTAGAATGTCAATTTCAAACAAAGAATCTGGACCTTTGATCCCGAAGCTTCTTTTCCTCTCCATTTGCACAATAACAGCAATTACAGTGATCCACCATCAAGGCCGAGGCAAATGCACTTCTCCATGTTTAAGATAATCAAACACATCAAACAGGGCCTGAGAGCAGCTTTTCTCCATTTCAGGCACTAATGTAAATCCCATGTAACGATAGTAGAATGAGGTACAGGTGCTGTATGCTCTTGCTATGGATCTGCTGTGGTAAACTCTCTAACCCTGCAATTCAACTGCCAACAATCTACCAAAGACAAATATGCAAGTTAAAAAAACTAAGGTTTTAAATGGCCACCGTTCTGCAGGCTGTCTGGGCCACAGCACAGTCTATGTGCAATCTGACCCTGTATACAGAAAGTGGCAGCGCATAGAACTGTTACCTTAGTTGGAGAAGAAATAAAATACAATAGGTGATTCTTCGCTTGTCGGTAAATAGACCTGATTTTGTATGTGTGACGTTATAATGGAAAATCCATCCAAAGTAGACAAAATTCCTCCTCCACTACCCACCTCCCGCACCTCCGGAAATGCCTATGAACACTCCCATAATCTATAGAATAATGGAAACTGAAAGGAAAAGCACACATTATCTGGTCAGTTAACCACGAGAGACCTACTTACCAGAATTGTGGTGACATACACTGTTCTATTTTCCAAGGCAGAAGAATCATTCGGGAACAACATCTCGTTCTGAATCAGCACTAGCTTGTCCACATCATTCCAGTAGCCAATCTGTGAATTAGAAAGCAGCTACTTAGCACAATAGTTTTTTTTCCTTGCAATGTAGTGAATGAGGTGCTCTGCTGCTATACAGTGTCCACGGCTTCTGAGCTGAAGAGACTCTGCTAAACAAAGAGAGAGCAAGCACGACACTTCCCAGCAATATCATATGCAAGGGCAAAATAGTACATGTGAAATCTGGGATATTTAAGTGGAGTCCTGTAGCTCAGTGATTAGAGCACTCGCTTTGCAAGCGAGAGACTTCGGTTCGATTCCCAGCAGGGTGAAACCTTGGGCAAGTTTTCTTTCTCCACATGCCTGATAATAATCCCTCAAAAAAAAACAATAATAAATTGGTCATTTCAATCCACGACTGTTTGTGGGACACTGCTGTGCGCAATTGGCTGTCACTACACTTAACACTATATGAGATATCTTAACGACTTGATAAGGCGCTATATCAAATGCAAGGATTATTATTATTAATTAATATAAGGAATGCTTTGTGACATACAGTGAACTTTTGCTCTCTGAGTGTTACGCTATTTCACTGTAGGGACCATGACCTCTAAGCACGTGCACTTTGCACAATGGTACAGAGTTGTGAACAGAAACATGAATCCCGGCTGTGTTTCCCTTCCATCGTCAAAGGGCACAAAGCCAATTGTATAAGAATCAATGCCTATCTGTTTATATCTTATGGCAATTATATAATTTTACCTGGTATAACAGAGAATGGCCCTCAAGATGCAGGTTTTACTACAAGATTGAGACAATCTGCATCTTGAATGAGTTAAACAGATCCAGAATAAGTTGTCGGCCTGACTCAATTGGTAGCACTCTCGAGTCATAGTCAGAAGGTTGCTCATTCAAGCTTGACCTTTAAACTCACATCGTCTCGGCTGATATTTCAGTGCATTGCTGAGGGAGTGCTGCACTATTGGAGGTGCCGTTGTTTGGATGAGATGTTAATCGAGGTCCATATGTGCCTTGATCAGCTGGACGTTAAAGATTCCATTCAAAAAGAGAAGGGAGTTTCCACCATTGTCCTATTCAACAATTCCCCAAATAGAATTGGTCATTCACTTCATGGATGTTTGTGGTGGGACACTGCTGTGTACAAATTGACTGTTAGGTTCATCTACAAATACTAATTACACTTCACGGTATATCCTGTGAAGAACTTTGAGATATCCTCTCAATACGAAATGAGGTACGTCAAATACAAGGATTATTTATTTTTTATTGCTTAACAAGGTTAAAATAGTTGTGTCACTATAGTTCATCTTGTATTTGGAATTCAACTTACTAGAACAAACATTTAAGAGGAAACTCAGTGAATTCTTGAAAGAGAAGGAAATATGGGCGTATGAAAGGGGTGACTGTGAAAGGAGATTGGGATGGGTGGAGGCTTATGTGGAATATATACAGGGTGACCAAAAAGGCATGATACTATTACAATGTCTAGGAAGTCTTAAAGAAATTATGATTTTTTTTAGATAATAGGGTAGTTATCATGACTTTTTGGTCACCCTGTATAAATACCAGCATTGGCTAGGTGAGCTGATTGTAGCTGTTATGGTGAAGTACGGGCTGTGCAATTCTATGTAAAACAAACAAGTCAGTGGAAGTACTAATCAGCTGGAGAGTACAGACAGTGAGTGACTCAGATGGTGTTATTGAATGTGAGGCTACACCTGCAGTGCTGGGGCTTGTGCTAAATGGCTGACAGTGCACCCCGATAAAGGGCTGACAGCTGCAATCTGCATTCTTTGTAAAGCAGTTCAAGAATGGGTTGATATTCTCTCTCAGCATTGTAGCATTGTATAAACAGTCAAACACAATCTATACAAATAGTAAAGCACAAAATGAGAATGTGACATGGTATAACATAGGGACACTAGAATTTTGTCTCAATGAGACTTCTCAATGACATGATATATCATATGCAATGATTATTCTTATTATAACCTAAAGGTAAAATGTGCAGAGGATGTGAAATTGAAGGAAAAACAAGGCATTTTGTATCTCACACGCTTAACAATCCACTGGCCATCACAAAATACACCTAGTTTATAAATAATCAGGTCTCCAGGGTTTACATAATGAAACTTATGTAAAAGTTAATTCAGTTCTTTGAGGCTTTCTGCTTCACAAGTTACTATTCTCTCGTGTACTATACACTACCCAATTATTCTCCTCAGAGAACTTCTGCATAGATACTTCCTGAACATCAAAAATAGCCCAGCAACATTCAAGAAACAATATCCATCTCCATATTTCCATCATTCAACAACAACTTACATAGTGCCCTTTGCAGAGGGTAGCGTTTTGGAGCACTTAAAATTTCTGTTTTTATTTGTCTCTTTGAAATTCTCAGTAGTACACTACCTCACGTCCTCTCTATCTGTGCTTAAAAGCCTGCCCAAAGCTTTAGGTCACCTTCCTCCTGGCTCCTCACTGCTTGGTATGTGGCACAGTCTCTAAAATACTTTAATCTACATGAAAGGCATTATCTAAATGCATGTTGTTCTTGATTATCTCTGAAATAATAATAATCCTTGCATTTGATATAATGCCTTACCAATAGATTGGTCACTTCAAACCACGACTGTTTGTGGGACACTGCTGTGCGCAATTGGCTGCCGTATTTTGCCCACAAATATACAATCAATTCACTTTACAGTATATTCTGTGAAGCGCTTTGAGATGTCTAAAAGACGTAAAAAGCACTATATCAAATGCAAGGATTATTATTATTATTATTTCATCATCACATCGTTGAGACATTTCGAAACACTTCAAAGGATATCTTGTTAAGTGTAGTGATTGTGTATTTTGGGGGGATTTGTACATACAAATCCTAATAACATCCCATCCAACGTATATAAGGTTCTCAAAGTGCTTCATGGGATTTAAAGTGCAGTGACTGTGCTTTTTGTAAATGAAAGCGGTAGCTAATTTGAGCACAGCAATATTTGAATACATTGTGGACATTGGTTTAAAGTCTCATCTGAAGGACGGTACCTCCAACAATGGAACCCTAGTGTCCACCTAGACTACAGGAGTTAAAATCCCAACGTGTGGCTCAAACTTCTACTATCTCAGAGCGCTTGCTGCTGAGTCAGACCGACAATATCATTAAGATGTAGCCTATTATTTAATGAATTTTCTTGATAGAAGCTTCACATCACAATTGAAAAAGTGCTTGTTGGGAAAACAGTGTAAATATTGCCTTGAAACAGAAGCTGCACCTCAGGACGAAAGTCCGCCTATTGACCTTGGCTCCAACCCGAAACCTCAAGGTAACACAGGCAGAACCAAATCACTCTTAAATACCCTAAAGGGTTAAATAATAATACTCCTTGCATTTGATGCAGCACCTTATCACATCAAAACAGCTCATAGCACTGTGCAGAATTTTCTGGCAAACTCAGCAGCCAATTCACGCACAGCGCTGTTTTTCAAACAGCGGGGAGATTTTGAGCCAAGATACTGAGAAGAACTCCCTTTTTTTTTTGAAAAGTGCCAGGGAACTTTAACATCCACCTGAACAAGCAGATTGTACCTCTCAACGGAAGGTTGGTACCTCCGATAGTGCAGCACAACTCCAGCACTGCTTGAATCCACAACTTTTTAACTCAGAAGTGAGACTGCTGCCAACTGTGACAGGCAGAGACAATAAATCACGTTGACGTTCAAAAACCTAGTAACAAACCAAGGCAGTCTCAGGGTTAAATAATAGATAAACTCCTGCCTTTTTTTGTGGTATAAATTGAAAGTAAAGTGAACAGTGGATAAATGTAGTGTTCCACTGGTTAGTTATACTGGTTAGTTATACCTTAATCGTTCATTTTGTGAATATGACATTTGATTTCTCCTGTTTATGATAAATCTGTTATTTTATAGTTCACTGGGTTGTCATATTGGGGGTTATTCTGCCCTATCCATAAGGATGCATAGCTTGTGGGACCCAGTACTGCATATTCAGGAAGAGTCGTCAAACATATGATTAGAGCAACTGAAAGGTTGATGCTTATGGCGGTGTCTATTAAATCCTGTACAGCACAGTCTTCGATTCCAGTAGTAGTGTCAAGTACTGGAGGCTTGGTATAGTAATCAAAATGTGCAAATGGAAGAACAGCATAGAATCATGCTCAAATCATTAGGAGTTGAATAGAAAAAGCACTGCGGGTCCAGATTTGGACCCATATGTGCCATTCATAGACCCCTGCAGATGTGGGCTCACAGGCTCAGTCCATTAGAGCTAAATGATGAGCTTGAGATGTTGTCAGGCTGATGTACCTTAGCTTTAACATAGTTCTTCTAATCATAACATATCTTGCTTTCTTCAGAATGCTTTCTGCCGCAGTTGACTAGAATGAGCTTTGAGCAGTGCCAGACAATTGTCTTGATCAGAGAGAGTGACTGCATATTAAACACATACCCAAGGGAAAACCACCTGAGGTGAAACTCTATTGTAGGACAATGTAATGTCATAATTTGATTGTCAGCAAACAGGCGTGTTTATAATTAGCTCAAAAAACAGCTCAAATCACACGAGTGGATCTGCAGCACTTAGGGACAAACTGACAAAACACTGCAAGCAATTCATAACTAATTCATTAGATCCACTGAAATTGACCTTGTTAATCTGAATGTCTTTTTTTTGGAATAGCAATAAACTGCAATAAACAACTGAGGAAATAGATAGACACTTAACTAAACATGTTATAATGTGCTACTGAGACTTTCAAGGTAATGAAAAATGCTTACAAGAGGAAATGTACTTCATAATAATAATCCTTGCATTCGATATAGTACCTTGTCACGTCTTCTAGACGTCTCAAAGTGCTTCACAGAATATACTGTGAAGTGAATTGACTGTATATTTTGTGGGCGAAACGCAGCAGCCAATTGCACACAGCAGTATCCCACAAACAGTCGTGGATTGAAGTGACCAATTTTTTTTAAAGGAATTATTACCTCCAGAAAAGCGATCTGCCAATTGACTTACAACCGGGTTCCTACTTATTGCTAGGTAAACAGAAGCGTGTGGATTAAGGAAACTTGCCCAACATTTTGCCCTGCTAGGAATCAAACCCAGGTCTCACGCTTGCGAGGCGAGTGCTCTAACCACTGAGCTAGAGAACTCCACAACGCACAATAGCATCAACCTGCAAAACTTGAATCAAAAAATGTTTCAGCATAGTAACAGGCCATTTGGGTCAATCGAGTCTGGTGGTTTTCTCCACACAAACAAATGGGGAGATTGGGAGAATTTCATTTCACACACAAGAGTGGTTAGGATATGGAATGCCCTGTGGGTGGTTAAGGCAAAAATCTATGTTAGTCTTCAAGAGCGAACTACAAAACAACCTCAGCTTGCATCTAATAGTGTCTTCATGCGGGATAGCATCTCGATGAATTTACAAATACCTTAAAACAGTCAGCTCTAGGTGCATGAGGAAAGGGCAGGTAAATAGGACTGAAAGGACTGCTCCTGAGGGAGCCGGCACAGACACAATGATCCAAATGGTCTTCTTCAGTAATTTTCTACGGTTGTATGAGCCACATAATATAACCTGCTTGCATAATATTTGTCAGTATTATTCACATTACAAAATGTTCTATTATTTTATCTCAGTTGAAGGCACTCTCCCCACTCAGAAAGCTGTGGGTTCAAACTCCAGGTGTAGAAATATATGAGAGCTCACTGTCAAGACTGAGAATACTGTCTAGACTGGTGGAGAGCTACATTGTTGGAAGTGCCCATCTTCTGATAACATGTTAAAGCTATGTTGCGTTTGCCTATGTTAGTGGAAATTAAAGATCCATGGCACAATTTGATAAGAGAAAGGGAGTTTTCAATCTCCTGACTGTTTGTGCATCTTTGCTGTGTGCAAAATGTCTGCCGAGTTTGCCTACAAAAAAGTTACTACACATGCTGCAATTACTGCAAAGCACTTTGAGAAGTTTCAACTTTATATGCGCCATAGAAATATAAGTTCTTCTATCATTTGCCCAATGTGTCATAGAATTTCATAGCTCAGTGCTGTTGGCCCAATCTGTTATGTCCCCTGTTAAATCATACAGAAACTGTCAAGACACTTGAAAATCTGGTTTCTGCATATATTATATACAGCTGAGATCAAGTGAGTTATGGAGCCAACTTTGGGGAATTCACTACTTAAATGGCTCAGGCTTTCCTCCTAAGGTTTATGATATTGTTCAAAACTCTTGTTTGTTATTTCACACATTTTGTCCATAATCGTAATATATAATTGTTGGATACGTTCAGCTGGTTTTGATGACCACTTAAATGCTCATCTAATTATACCTGAGTAAACATACACCTTGATTTCTGACTTTCACCAGCAATAAGGTCATCTATAACTGGCTGCTCTAAATGTGTACTTGTAGAATCATAGAAACATAGAATCTTATAGGACAGGAGGCGGCAATTCGGCCCTTTGTGCCTGTGTCAGCTCTTTGAACGAGCTCCCAACTAGTCCAAATCCCCCGCTCAAACCTCATAACCCTGCAATTTTTACCTTTTCAAATATATATTTTCCCTATATATTGTCTGATGAAAGTAAACAGGAAGCCTCCTCCCCTTGATTTTTTTTATTGCAAACCTGAGTCAGCACATAAAACATTTGACCCAAAGCAGAGATTTGTTAAAGGCACGGATTATTCCACACTGTTCCTGGTAACTCACCTTCCTGTGGCCTGTGTTTTTCAGCTCAAGTACATCTATCGTGAAGTTTGTCCGACGTCCGTAGTTGTCAAACTGAACATTTCCCGTTAAACCCTGGATCCGCACCTTGAGAAGAACACACAGCAAGATCCATGAACCATAACTTGCAGTGAAGAGATGAGTGTATTAAGTCGCCACTGGCAGAATTCATTCACTGCAACACAAAATCCTGACTGCGGAGAAATTTTATTCGAACACTTACTTAATTACTGTAACACAACATAAAGCAAAGATTCCTGCTGTAAAACCTGTACTTTGAGGGATTTTTTAAAAAAATCTTTGAAATATCTCAGAACTTGTCCTCTAACCTTCCCTTTATCCCTTGACTTCTACTTGCTGTCCTTCTCCCGCACCCCCCACCCAGAAACCTCAGATATTGGAAAATCACAGAAGCAATCCCAGCCCCCAGCTGTCTGGATGCAGCACAGTGTTAACCCACACTCTGGGATGCTTCCTTGCTCTCCCAGATTCAAGAAATTCCACAGAGTAACAGGTGGACGAGGAACTTTGATCTTTGGAATTTAAAAACCTTGCAAAAAAAGGGAGGATTTGCGGCAGTTTAGAAGTACCACAAAGGGATCTGAAATGCAGTAACTGCTCACAGGTTTTGGTGATTTCTGGTTTTCCAATATCACATTGGAAAATTCACGACAAAACTTGTAGCCATTAAATCATAACATATTCAGAACAAATCTGCAGAAATACTACTTAAGTGAGTGAGTTGTAAACCTATGGAACAGGCTCCATAGGGAGACGGTGGAAACAGAAAGTGTTGATTCTTTCAATAATAAATTATATACATAATATATGTAAAATGAATTGACTGTATATTTGTGGGCGAAACGCGGCAGGTAATTGCGCACAGCAGTGTCCCACAAACAGCCATGGATTGAAGTGACCAATTTTATTATTCTTTTTTTCTGAAGGGATTATTATCAGACGTGTGGAATAAGGAAACTTGCCCAAGATTTAGCCCTGCCGGGAATCGAACCCAGATCTCTCGCTTGCAAGGAGAATGCTCTAACAACTGAGCTCTACTACAGTAATCAGATAGATTTCTGTTAGGAAACAATATCTTGGGATACTACATGGGACACGACATATCATATGACTGCCAGGATGGTGGAAGGCGAACTAGATGGACTTTGGTCTTCTTTCACCTTGTAAATTCTTATGTGCTTTACGTTCTAATCTCACGGCTAAAAACAAGCCAACCAGCAAAAATTGATGTAGTATGATATTAGACCCTGGTTATACTCCACTGTAGTAAAGGAAATAAAGTAAGTACCTGTTTCAGTGCTCTTTCTGTGTCAATACCTTGGATCCAAGGAGCAGCAGGGTTAGCGAGACAATCTCCAGCATTGCCTTTTCTTGAAATGTCAATCCGCTGTCTTCGGAGGTAGCGGAAGGCTTCAGCCATGACAAGTATTCCATCATATGTCAGTGCAGATGTGTACTGAAACCAAAGGGTATTTGAATGATATTCAGCGACCAGAGGGCAGCAATTTAAGATAGAACAACAGAAACGAACAGCACAGAAAAAGGCCGTTTGGCCCATCATGTCTGTGCCGGCTCCATCAAGAGCAATCCTTTCAATCCCATTTACCTGCCCTTTCCCCATATCCTTGTAGCTTGCTCCTTTTCAGGTATTTCAAATGTAGATAGTTAGCAAGAGACAAAGAGTGCAAAATTAGGAGACTTTTTTTACACAGAGAGTTGTTAGCAATTCTCTGCTGGATGTAGTGGTTGAGGCAGAATCATAATAACTTTCAAGGGGGAACTAGATATAGATATCTAAAGAGGACTAATCTGCAGGTGTATGGGGAAAGGGCAGGTAAATGGGACTGAATGGACTGCTTTTCACAGAGCAAGTGCAGACACAATGGGCCAAATCACTTTTTTGTGTTGTAAATATCTATAGTTCTAAATCATTAAATACAGATAGCATTTTACCTATTTTTTTCACACATTACATAGTACACAAGAAAGAGAGAAAGGCCTATTGACAAACTGAGCTAGTTCCTTCAAAAGTCAGCGATTTTTCCACTATCATATAACCAATTCACCTAATCTGACAAGGGAGGAGATTAACCACAGAAAAACCTCCGAAAAATAAATTATTTGAAACTTCCTCTAATCCCTAGAGTGGTGTAGTGAATGCTCCAAAGTCTTACAAGACAGAATATAATAAAATAAATAATATTAATCCTTGCATTTGATATAGCACTCTTCACGTCTTCTAGATGTCTGAAAGCGCTTCACAGGATATGCTGTAAGTGAAACAAAAACAGAAGTTGCTGGGAACACACAGCAGTCCAGCGATGTCTGTTTTTGTTTCAGATTTCCAGCATCTGCAGTACTTTGTGTTTTGTTTATACTGTAAAGTGAATTGACTATATATTTGTGGGAGAAACATACAGGGCTCTGTTCTTGTTCCCCTCCTCTTCACTATCTCCCTCTTGGTGACATCATCCGCAGACATAGGGTCAACTTCCACATGTATGCGGATGACACCCAACTCTACCTCTCTGCCTCCACCTTTGACTCCAGCACCACTGCTGTCCTGACAGAATGTCTATCAGACATCAAGTCCTGTATGAGAGCTAACTTTGTTCAGTTGAACATCAACAACACCGAGGCTCTCCTGATTGGCTCCCGTCAGCACTTCCATACCTCGGGCGCTGACAGCATCACCATCCATGGACGCACACTCCACCTTGCTAAGCCAGTCTGGGATCTTGTCATCTTGCTTGACCCTCAACTATCCTTTCTACCCCATATCCGTGCCATGACCCGCTCTGCCTTCCCCCACCTCCACAACATCACCGGCTCCGCCAATGTTTCACACCACAAGTCGCCGAAACCCTCATAAATGCTTTCATTACATCAAGACTTGACTACGCAACTCCTCGCTGTCGGCCTCCAACTCCTCCCTTCATAGGCTGCAGCCTGTGTCCTCTCCCACATCAGGATCCATGACCCTATCACCCCCATCCTTGCCCGACTCCACTGGCTTCCCTTCACACAGAGGATACAGTTCAAGATCCTGGCCTTCACCTTCAAAACCCTCCATGGTCTTGCTCCCCCCTACCTCTGCAACCTCCTAACCCCCTACCATCCTGCCTGCTCCAGCCAATTGCACACAGCAGTGTCCCACAAACAGCTGTGGATCGAAGTGACCAATTTAGACTGTAACTAATCAGGTAACAAATCTAGAGTCTGCTGTAACACAGGAACCAGTCAATTCCATTAAAATATTAATCTTCCATTTGTGTCCTTCTATTGTGTAATCCTTCAATCCTGTCCTTATAAAATATTTATTCAGAAATTTTTTGGAAGGAATTAACCTACACAATATTAACTGCTTTGGTGAAAGTCTGTTCCACATATATACCACACACCCAGCGAAAAAGGAAGAAAGCTTTTAATCTTGCTTGCGATACATTAACCTTGCACTCAGGTCCCTTCACTGAACACAATAGATTTGTAATAAGCCATAGTCATTTAGCTGAAATTTTTGATGCTTCAAGCCCTGGATGCATATAAAAGGTTTTGATAGGTATCATTAAAAAGTGATCTTTGGTTTTACACTGCAATAAAACTGAAACATTCTCATTACTAGTATACGCTACAAAGGACCAAAGTATTTAGGTATTGTTACTGCAAAGCCTTAAATAAGAACAAGCCAGTCATCTGATAATAATAATAGTAATCCTTGCATTTGATATAGTGCCTTATCACGTCTTTGAAAGGTCTCAAAGCACTTCAAGAATATACTATAAAGTGAATTGACTGTATATTCTGTGGGCAAAATGCAACAGCCAATTGCTCATGGCAGTGTCCCACAAATACCCATGGACTGAGTGATCAAATTATTATTACATATACTGTATTTTTTTTAATTTTGAAGAGATTATGACCCCTTGAAAAGCAATCCGCCAATCAACTAACAACCAGGTTCCTACTTACTGCTAAATAAACAGAGGTGTGTGGAGTAAGGAAACTTGCCTAATGTTTCGCCCTGCCCAGGAATCAAACCCAAGGTCTCTTGCTTGTAAGGCAAGTGCTCTAACCACTGAACTACAAGCCTCCACGTGGTTTTTAAACCCAGTCACTTCGAACAACCTGGGACAAGACCTGAAAATCACTGTGGCATTAAACAGAGGCAGAAGTGATGCCCTTACGCCTGATCTCACAGCATCACACATACACAAAATAATCCTACAACGAGAAGACACAGATTTACACACAGTGTCAGCTTTTGTCACTCAGTTAACTTCCTATTAACACGCAATACCAGGCAGAATTTCAGCTCAACAGAGTGGCTCTATTAGAGGAAAGAGGAAACAGCTACAAATTGGAGGTAGAAGCACTCTATTTGATCGCTGACTCTGACTTTTAAACCTTTGTTGTACCATTTACTTTTGCCACTGGAATAATTGTCTCAGTAACAAAAATAGATAATCCACTCTCGCTGAAAATTGGATGTTTTCATAAAAAAAAGTGCTCACAAAATATTTTTGGAGAGATAAGAGCTATGTGTCATCTGTCACAGTGATGTAATGATATGTTTCAATATATCATTGCCCACAAAAAGAAATACACAGGTCACTTCACTTTACAGTAAAATCCTGAGACGTCCTCCAGACTTGAAAACACAATCTCAAATGTAAGGATTTATTATCACATGGAATAAAATTTGCCAAGCATCTTTTTCATTGAACGATTAGACAAGGTAGTCTTAAATATTGAAAGGAGATAACTCAGAGGGGACCTTGTGGACGTTTACAAAATCTTAAAGGGGTTGGAAAAGTAAACCCAGGGTACTTTCAGATGCAACAAGACAGTAGAACGAGAAGGCATAACATTGCAAATGGCAATTTCAGGACAGATATCAGTAAGTATTTCTTTACCAAGAGAGCAATTACTGATTGGTTACCAGGAAAGATGATTGAAGACAGGACTTATTGTGATGGGAAGGCCAGGCTGGCTCATCAGCAGGACTTGGGAGGGCTGGCCAGTCACTGAGGCTGGGAGTCTTCCCACTCAGCTCTTGTTAACCCTGCAAGCCAAAGCCCTAATGAGTAGGGTGGTTCTACCTGGACAAGCAGCAGGAAAGCTTGCCAGGCAGTGCTCTCAAAGACAAGCTATGTGGGTTTAGCTGGTTAGACTCTAGCAGTACCCCAACACACATTCTGGGATCACCATGCCTTGGCTGTTGCCAACCTGTCCCTAACAGCACCTTGAGAGGTCCTCCCGACGTGAAAGGTGCTTTACAAATGTAATGTTGTTGTTGTTAATACTTTCTGGAGTTAGGTAAGCAGGATGTGTCCCTCCATGGAGAGAGTGTGTGCATTCCATTCCAATAAATAGTTGTAGAATTTCCATGTGTTGGAAACATGGAACTCTCAGTTTGGTTTAGATACTCTTAAGCATGACGAAGGGTTTGTGTGATGAGGATGTATCAGACACCTGGCTGACCAAAAAGAAAATTGTGATAGGAAGGCGGTAGGGCGAGCATCTAGAATGATGAGATCACATGGCCCAACAGCATCTTAACTGATCTTGTGATCAACAATAACAACAAGTTACACTTGTATAGTGCCTTTCATGTCTGGCAACAATGTACTCTCATCACTGGTTCATTGCAACCTCCAAACCTCCTTTGCTTCATTATTTTTGGCCAAGCCCCTGTCCTCTGGAGCTCTCTTCCAAAACCGCTTCACTTTGCTATCTCTCTCCATGTCTTCAAAAACCTCCGATCAGATATCTCTCTGTACATTTGATCAACATTTTTAAATCTCTTATTTCCCACTCTGTGTCCATCAAGTGCTTTGAGACTATTTTATGTGAAAAAACCTGTATTAATGGAGGTGGTTGTTGAATACCCTTTAAAAGTAAGCTCTTGTGCTTCTTTCATTCTAACTGTAGCACCATTTTCCTTTGTACATTAGGAAACATTTTCCTTTATAGATAAAAGGTTGAAAAAAATCTGAGTTCTGCACTATAGTGCAGCCAATCCCTGTAAAGTTTTTACTGGATAAGTGAACAGTTATTTATCAGTGAACAAAGACTGAAAGATTGACAGAAAATAGGCTCCGTGTTTCATAAGAACACAGGAGCTAAAAAGAGCATTCAGATCATCGATTGTACTCTGTCAAGTAGGCTTATATACAGGGAGCTTCTCAGACTCTTTCATCTCTCTCTTGCCTTGGCGGCAAAGCTATATCCTCTAGTCCAGCTGCCCTAGGAAACTATTCATTTCTATTTTGAATGGTTACACTGAGCCTGAGCTCATTGTTCTGGATGAAAATCTCTCCCCCAAATTAGGTACTCGTGACTGGGAGGCTATTCTTCAATGAGTAGGTACAGTGTTCAACGCTCATAAAGGTTGTGGTTAATTAACCCAAGGAACTTGGTACAAAACACTACAAACTTCACCCTATTATCTTCATT